TTTTATTGTCTTTCTTATTATTGTTTTTTATTATGTAACTCTCAATTGTCAACTTGCAATTTTTTAGAGATAAAGTATTTTAAGATTTTATATGAAGTATTTTAATATGATCATAAAATAATGATTGTGAATATCCAGGTTACATATGTTATTACACAGAGAACATTATTTTCATTTTATATTTTTCTATACTAATGTTGTTTGAAATATTGAGATTTTGTAAGATGATTTCCCTCTGATTTCTCACATAAGTCCTTCTTCTTTACATCTCTACCTTTGTCTGCTTTTATCAGATATTTTATTCTATTATTCTATTATCTTTTCTATTACTATTTTTATTACTATCTTTAGTATTTTAAGTGATGTGCACTTTATTTACAAAATGTGTTAAGGCAATAAAGGGGTAACAGGACCTGTATACCTATAAGTGTATAAATACCCAGCTCTGACTGTAAGATGCATTCTTCTGATGAAGTGACCAAGAGTCACGAAACGCGTAAGGCTGCATCTCACTGACACAGATTGGAACGCAAAGTGAACCGAAGTGGAACGCACGCGGCAAGTCTGACCTCCAGCGACTGGATTCACAGGACTCTGCAGCTGTCTGCAAGCCGGCTTCTAACAGACAGCAAACAGCAGAGGAGCAAGCCTGAGGGTGATGAGACTTCGCTAAAGGTTCCCACACTTTTGTACCATCTGTGTAAGAACTCTTGCTTTTTATTTTTATATGATTTTAACCAATTTTGATAAAAAATTCGATATTTTTTCAAATGACACTTTTTTTTGCAACTTTACTATGAAGACCAACGGCTGGTGTTGGATGCATAACAGTGTCAATTATATGATTTGATTTATTTGTGGAAACGTTTTACACATTTCTACATTTCTTCATTCAGTGTTATAACATTTGTGTATCACACTAGTACATGTTATTATCAGTGTGTTACTAGATGAATATTGTGCTCCTAGTGGCTAACTTTTCCCCTCTGTTGCAATAGAAGGGAGTTCTAGCCTTACATATATTGGAGCAGACTCTTTTGAAGGACCACCAGGACTGTTTTCGCTGATTCATAGTGTTCTATATAAGAAAGGACTGTAATTATTATTAGTCTCTCTTTCAGGTTGATACAATTTAGTGCCATTTAGACTGGATACATTGTGGCTCACACAATTTTTGGTTACTTCCATTATTGATTCGCTGTATAATACTATTTAGCGGATCCAATACTTCTGCACATTTGACAAGATTGAGGTTTAAGAATTTTAAATCTGACAGTGGCAGTGACTATCTCCCGGTTACAGCAATCTGATTTTTTCATTCTGAATTATTCTTTTTGCTACCTTTACTCTCTTTATTTTAAGTTTGTTTATAGATTTACTGACCTCTACTTCTGTTATGGGCTGGTTTATTTGCCTTATTTGGTAGGGTAGGATTTATGGCATGGGCAAATTTTCAAAGAATTTCTCGATCTCTTTCGCCTTACAGAATGTTTCTTCTGGTAAGCTATATAAATGCCGGTAAAATCTTTCAAATGCTCCTCCAATTTTTTCTGGAACCATTAGATTAGTGTTGTTCTCTTTTATTTTATGTATTACTCTTTTATATTTATCTTTTTTCAATTTGTTGGACATAATTGTTTCTGGTTTATTGCCTTTTAAGTACCACTTAGTTTGCAATGATTCTAGTTGTTTGGATGCTTTGTTTATTAATTGGTTGTTAATCTGTTTTTCTATTTCAGAGATCTTACTTGCTGTTTGTATAGAAGGTGTTAATTTATTTTGCCTTTGGTATTCACTTTATGTTATATATAGTTTTGATAGGGGTAGTAATCCTTTTTTATTTTCTATAGCAACCATTTTTATCAAGTGAACTCTAACTACACTTTTATATGCGCACCAGACCGTAATGTCCAGTGTGCCTTTTTTTGTTTTCACGAAATAATAGAATTTTTTAATTTCTTCCACATTACTTTTTTATGTAGTATTAAATCTTTTATGCGCCACTCTTTGCGGAAATTATCAAAATTATCTTTATATTCCAGCATAATAGGGCTATGGTCTGACCATGCTATATCCTGTATCTCTATTTGTTTGACAAGATACAGCATGGCCACGTTTCCCAAGATAAAATGTATTCTGGAGTAAGAATGAAATGTTCTAGAATAACATGTATTGTCTAAATCTGTAGGATGGAATGTTCTCCATATATCTCTTAGGTTATGATAGTTCAGTAAGTTTTGCAGTCTATTCTCATCTTTTTTCCTATTTTTCCTACCATTCTGGCTCTTATCTCTTAGCGGGTCAACTACGCAGTAAAAATTCCCCATCATTAATACCAGCCCTAATCTAATCTGCTCTATCTTTTTTAACACTTTTGATATAAATTTTATTGCTTTATTTGGTATGTAAATATTGGCTAGTGTAAATAACTTGTAGTTTATTTCACATATTAAGATAATATATCGCCCTTCTGGATCTAGTTCTTGATATTTAATGATTAGGGAAAATTTTTTTGCAAAAATAAATGCCACTCCCCCTCCCCCTTTTTTTTTTGTCTAAGGCTGCACTTATAATAATGGGGTATCTTGATGAATTTAATGTCTTTTCCTTGGCTTTTATCCAGTGAGTTTCTTGCAGGGCACACATTTGTACCCGATTTTGTTTAATCAAAAAATCTACAATTATAGACCTTTTACATGGTGTGTTAATCGACTTAATTTATGGTTTCTTTTTGATTTTTGGGGCTCTTTGTTGTCCTCCCTGTCTAAATGTGTATCTTTCTGTGTATTATAATTTTTTTTAGTGAATTTCTCGTTTCCTTCTTATTTGTGGTCTTAGTATAAACAATTTTGCTTCTTATTGTGCTCTAATTCCTTTATAGAGTGCCTATTGGATACATTTTTAGTTTTGATCTATAGTTCTTTATTTTGTTTATTTATTTGCCCTTAATTCCTATTTGCTATATTCATATATCCCATAGGTCCCTAATAAATTATATAAAAAAATAAATAAAGAAAACAAATTAAAGAAAAAAAGAAAGAAAAAAAGGAAAGTGCATTTCCTTATTTATTAAAGAAGTTAAAAACCTCCACTACGGGGGCGTGGCCTAGCTCACGGCATGGACGGTCGCATGTAAATAGTGCTCCGTTCCTCACAGCCCAGAAAGCGTTTTTCGCTAGCAATAGACACCGATAACCCGGACCGCAAATCCAGGGAAGATGACCCAAGCAAGGTCCAAACAAAAAATCCCGGACAAGGGAGAAAAAAAACACGTTCTTCGGAGCCAGGCCGCAACAGCATAAACAGGCCGCCTCGCACGAGAGTGACCAAGATGGCGACGGGGACGACACGATTCCATTCCACACCGACCCGGCAGGGAACTTACCAGTCACACAAGAGATACTGCAGAAGTGTCTGGACGCGATGTCCAACAAACTCCTAGACAACCTGAACAAATCAATAGCAGAGATGAAGAAAGACGTGCGCAACTTAGGGGAGCGCACGGCCAGGGCGGAAAACAAAATGGACGAATTTGCGGAGGCCCACAACGACATGGCAGACCATGTCCAAAGGTTAGAACACCAACAACACCAACTCCAAATAAAAATAATGGACATTGAAGACCGCTCGAGAAGGCAGAACATACAACTAAGGGGGATCCCTGAAGAAGTAAAGCACCCAGACCTGGTGGAATACCTAACAAGCCTCTTCCAAGCCCTGTCACCAGACTTACCTATAGACATGATGCTGATCGATAGGGCTCATAGAGTGGCAAAACCTAAATTCCTACCAGCCGAAGCACCAAGGGATGTCCTGGCAAAATTGCATTACTACCATATTAAAGAAGGAATTATGCAAGCTTCCAGAAAACGAAGAGATATGCCTGACAAATACAAGTCCATTTAACTCTATTCAGACCTCTCTGCCCTGACTCTGCAAAAGCGCAGGGAACACAAAGACATCACAGAGACACTCAGAGCAAGACAGGTACCATACCGGTGGGGTCACCCGGTCCGCCTCCTGATCCAGAGAAATGGGACGGTAACAACTATCCTGTCCCCAGAAGAAGGTAGAAAAACCCTCAGGACCTGGGGGATAGCATTGCAGCAACAGCCGGAAAAAACACAAGCTACACAGTGGCTGACGCCTGAGTGGAAGAAGCAACGCAAGTGAACCAGGACCCCGCACGCCTGCTGAAGACGATGCATTGATGGGTCTGATTTTACATTTATATGCTCATGTACCATAGACTTTGAATGCTATAGTTAAGGCGGTAATTATATGACCAAGAAGCATACTTAATTGTAAATATTTGCACAGAGTTTATTGTTAATGCGAGGCTCTGCCCTGCCAAAGTTTTGTAGATTTTTCCGTTGAACGAGCAAAAATATGTAAATGCTGATTGCATCCGTTCACCTCCCAGTGAATGTCCCAAAACCAACCAGAAGCAGCATAAGCTATAGATCAGAAAATAGCAGTTGAAAGTCACCATAGAAAAAAATAAATAAATAAATAAGCAAAACTAGCCGGGCAAGGGAAGATATATGCCAAACGCTATAGAAGAGCCGACGACACTATAGCTACAGTGTATAAATGTAGAAATGCTAGCCGCGTCAGCGGACCTTCAAAGAGCAGATGCAGGAAGGTTATATGTTACTGGTTATATGTTTGAAAGTTGAAACTTGGTCTTGTGACTACCAATGCCAATCTCATTATACAACTACGTAGTGAGAGGCAGATTGGGAGCTAGGGGTGCAGATTGGCCCCACACTCGAGATGTAACCAAACCTGAGGTACAGAGATAACACATACTGAAACACGAGACCTCACGCACGCATAGCAAAAACGGGACACAGTTAGGGTATGAATGACTTGACGAGTTCCTGGTTCCGAACCACACAGGACACTATCGGTACCACACCTTATCACCAGAAATGGAAGGGCTAAGCCAACCGTTGTAGTACGAAGTTTAAACCCATTCCACGACCCCCAGAGGTTACACGGAATAGTAACCACACCCGAATCTGGGTATTAGTAGTGACAACTACCAATATGTTCTCCCCCAGTTACTCCCCCTTGCCCCTTAACCCTCTATTCACTATCCTAGCCACCACAGTTAAACGACTCATGACAGCCTACATCCATGACCCCGAACAACAATACCCTGAGCGAGGGGATTTCAAGCCCAGGGAGAAGCCAAATACACAGTTTAGTCTCCTGGTAAATGCTACAGTGAAGCGCAATACCAATACAACCCCTGTGACAGACAGCTATTACGCAATGAAACCCCAACATGAAAGTATACTCGCATAACGTAAAAGGTCTAAATACACCGTATAAACGCCACTGCCTCTTTAGGGACTTGAAACAAGAGCAAGCGGAGATAATATGCCTCCAGGAAACACATTTTAAAACACACCCAACCTTAAGACTAGACTTATTCCCTCACCAATACCACGCAACAACGGGACACAAATCCAAAGGAGTGTCAATACTAATTAGCAACAAAGTTGCATTCACACACCACAACTCCTATATCGACCCTCTGGGCAGACACATAATACTAGTATGCACCATTAATAACGCCTTGTACACTATAGTCTCAGTCTACGCACCGAACACAGACCAAAGGAATTTCCTTCACAAGTTGTTAGCTAAAATAACACAACTACAGAAAGGCATGTTGATCCTATGTGGTGACTTCAATCATATTACAGACCCAAAGCAAGATTCCACAGCGCAACTTAGTTCCAAACCAAGATCAAAACAAACCCAAGCGTGCACAAAATATCAGAAACTATTAGATGACCATCAACTATACGATTCGTGGAGAGCACTTCATCCACAATTAAAGGACTACACTTACTACTCCACACCGCACAAAACGTACACGCGTATAGACAGATTCCATATCCACAGACAACATCTAGACCAGATACTAGACTGCAATATCCACACAATCAGTTGGTCGGATCATGCAGCAATAACACTAACGATTAAAGACCAATATGACTTCAAGCACAAGAGCCCATGGAGACTTAATGAATCCCTACTACACAACCCGACGATCATTCAACACCTAGAGGAAGAAATCACACAATATTTCAACACGAACAATACAGAGCAAACTAAAATAGACATGGTATGGCAGGCGCACAAACCAGTCATTAGAGGCTTGCTGATCCAAACAGCAGCGAGGACCAAGCGTGACACCCAGGCACAATGGATAAAATGGAACACTCAACTGACGGACCTCACCACCAGAAACAAAACGTCCCCGACAGAATCACTGCACACCCAAATCAAGGACGTACAGGACAAAATTAAAGAATACACACTACAAAGAGTGAGCTACAATTTACATAGACTCAAACAACAACAATACACACAAGGCAACAAAGCGAGCAAATTACTGGCAGCTAGACTCAAAAGCAGAGTAACCAATAGCAGAATACAATACATCATAGACCAGAACAACAAAAAACTCATTTCCCCGGTGGAGGTGAGTAACGCCTTCGCCTCCTACTATGAAAAATTATATAATCTAGAGACCTCGGACCAATTAAAACAAAGGGATGAAGATATACATGCATACCTAGCAAACACACAACTACCGACACTATCACCCACCAAGATGGCAGAATTAACAGCCCCCGTGACAACACATGAGGTAGGAGCTGTGATAAAAGCGCTGCCGAAAAATACAGCACCGGGCCCTGACGGCTTCACAAACCTTTACTACCAGAAATTCCAACACATTCTATCACCTTACCTTGCGCAACTATTCAACTATGCCACCCAAACTAGCACACTCCCCAAGGAATTACTCACGGCACATGTTATTACCCTCCCCAAGCCAGGCAAACCACCAACTCACTGCCCCAACTTCCGTCCGATATCGCTCCTCAACACCGACGCCAAGATATATGCCAAGGTCCATGCACAACGACTGAGCCGCATACTACCCCACCTGATCCATACGGACCAGGTGGGCTTCGTAGCTGGAAGGCAGGGGTCAGACAACACACGCAAGGTACTGGACCTGTTGCACAGCATGAGGAGGGGGGGAATCGGGGGCCTTCTGGTGTCCTTGGACACTGAGAAGGCCTTCGACCGACTCAGTTGGTCCTTTCTGCAGGCAGTGCTACACAAATTCTCATTCCCACAACAATTCATCAACGTGATTAGAGCCCTATACAACCAGCCTACAGCCAAAGTCGTGACAGCCGGGTTCTGCTCAGAACCCTTTAAGATCACAAACGGGACGAGACAAGGCTGTCCACTGTCACCTATGCTATACGTCTTAGCATTAGAACCACTAGCAGCCAAAATTAGAGACGAAATCTCCATAAAAGGGGTTATGCTGGGAACTAAGGAATATAAATTAAGCATATTCGCTGATGACATCTTTTTGACACTGACAGAACCATTTATCTCACTGCCCAACCTTATGAAACACATAGAACAATACGGAAATACTCCTATTACAAACTCAACTTAACTAACACTCAGGCTATGGGGATTAATATACACAAACAACAAATGGAAATACTAAAGGAGAAATTCCCCCTAGACTGGCGAACAGACTTCCTAACCTTCCTAGGCCTCAAAATCGTGAAAAATCCAGCACACCTTTTCAAGCTCAATTACTTGAGTATCCTATCGAACTTTAAAGACACCCTAAAAACCTGGGAAGGAAAATACATATCTTGGGTAGGCCGTATAACAGCAGTAAAAATGACGCTCCTACCTAAACTCCAGTATCTCTATAGAACTTTACAAATTCCACTGCCCAGGAGCCTCTTCCTCACGGCCCAAAACGTACTCCTTAGATTCGTGTGGCAAAACAAAAAGATTAGAATAGCCACCAAGATTATACAAAGAGAGGTGAACAAAGGTGGTCTTGGGTTCCCCGACATACAAACTTATTACAAAGCAGCAATCCTCCACACAATATCACAGCTCATACCACGACCAGACCAACCACAATGGCTTGAAATAGAATCCCACTGGGCTCACCACTCCACAATCTACTCATACCTATGGACCCCAAAACACTGCAGACCCGCGACACATCATCTGCTTCCCACATCCCAATTACTACTCGAAATATGGGACTCAGTACAGAAAAGAGTGACGGCCTACCAACCTATACCCCTAGCGACTCCAATGGATGTAATGTCCAGGATAATACCCACACTAAATCAAAAAATTTGGTTAGAACACGACATCAAACGCATTGAACAGCTATATGATGGGGGGAAAATCATGCAATTCCCGGCACTACAAACCGTGTACAACCTCCCAAGTAAGATGCTGTTTCCGTACCTGCAACTTAAGTCATGCCTACAACACACCCGACCCCAAACACTACACGATGAACCTCTCCAGGAATTATCTACCTTTGAAAAAATCTGCACAAACGCACTACCCCCCAAAAAAGTGATATCACTGTGCTATAAAGCCTTGATCCACTCCCAGACTAACATTAAAATCACGTATAAACATGCATGGCACAAAGAACTGAACCAAACAATCAGCGAGGAACACTGGACAAAAGCATACTCATCACACAGAGGCATCACGTCATGCACTAATCATTTAGAACTCCAAAGGAAAATTCTATATCGCTGGTACCTGGTACCAGAGAGGATTCACAAAATATGGCCACAATCCTCCACGAATCAATGCTGGAGGTGCAAGCAACAGGTGGGAACGATGTTACACACATGGTGGTCCTGTGATATCATACAACCATTCTGGCGCAAGGTGGGACATCTCATTCAACAAATAACGAACACCAACGTAGAGCCCACGATAGAGATGTGCCTCCTATATATACCACCAGAAAACTTAACTAGGGCTCAATGGGCAACTACCTACCACATTTTAATATCAACCGCAATGTTGATAGCTAGATTATGGAAATCCCCTTCTGCACCGAACTTCAGTACCCTCCTTAACCAAATCAACACCAACTGGCAGTACGAATCAATGCTGGTACATCAAAGAGGCCTAAATAAATCAATGGCAAAAGCCAACTTGGTTTGGAAAGAATACTGGGAGGCAAACAAAGCTGCTCACACCTTACCAAACCCCAAAAATAACTCACCCGAAGCCCCAGTAACCACAGACACACTCAAATGAGGCACCAAAATAGTTTGAAACCCCACCATGGCCCAAGCAAAAAGGGCTAGCCCATAATCTCCTACTCTTACGTTCATGAGACATAGCAAATAACACCACTATACAGTCAAATGGATTAGAGGAGAGGAGGTGGGGAGACTAACACCTAACACCAATCACCAGTTGCGGGAGATAGACTAGTCAAACACAGGCATACTCCAGGAAAACAGAAACTAAAAGCCAACAGGAAACGAGTCAGGGAATACTCAGGGTGTTACTGCCCAACAAGAAACATAGGACCCTCTGGGTAGGGTAAATACTGGTGGAAACACTCCTATTACAAACTCAACTTAACTAAAACTCAGGCTATGGGGATTAATATACACAAACAACAAATGGAAATACTAAAGGAGAAATTCCCCCTAGACTGGCGAACAGACTTCCTAACCTTCCTAGGCCTCAAAATCGTGAAAAATCCAGCACACCTTTTCAAGCTCAATTACGAATCAATGCTGGTACATCAAAGAGGCCTAAATAAATCAATGGCAAAAGCCAACTTGGTTTGGAAAGAATACTGGGAGGCAAACAAAGCTGCTCACACCTTACCAAACCCCAAAAATAACTCACCCGAAGCCACCCCCCCCCCCAACCATCCCACCACCCATGAGCAATACTAACACTACAATAAATGTATGATGTTATTGATAATGCTGTACAATGTGTTTAACCCCCCACTCCCCCTCTTCTTTCTGTACCCCTTATTTTGTGAAAATAAAAATTGTCAAATTGAAAAAAAAACCTCCACTACTTGTTATTTCTCCCTTCTCTCCATCCTCCCCCTTCTTCCTCTTCTTCTCCATTCCTTTAAATATTTAGAACCTCACAATTTTTGAATAATGGCTGGGGCTAATTCCAATTTTATTTTTATCTAGCCAGCTTTTCAGGTCTTCTGTGTTATTGATATAGGTGAGTTTCCCTTTATGTGATATAATAATTTTCGTGGGGAACCCCCATCGGTAATTTATGTTGTTCTGTCTCAGGGTCAGTGTGCCTTCAGAAAAGGTCTTCCTCTTTTGTCTGGTTTGCCATGACAAATCCTGGAATATTTTTAAGGTTTCATATTTTTCTGCACATCCATTACTTCTTATGACTCTCGGAATTTTCATCTTAATCCTAGAGGAGACGCAGCATATCTTTACGTCCCTTGGGAGATGTTCTGTGACGCCTAGGTTTATTTACTCTATGGCATATTTCCACAATAGTGTCACATATTAATCAGCATATAAAAATGTGATTAATGACATTTACTGTTCTGACAGGAAAAGTTGTGCCGAGCAACATTACTGTCCTGACAGGAAAAGTTGTGCCGAGCAGCAATCATATCCACAGGAGGGTTTGTGCTGAGCAGCAATTATGCAAATAATAAGTATCACGACCAAAGAGAAAAGGTAAGTCAACACCGAACTGACCTAACTTCTAGGCTTGAAGAAGCTTATGAGATAGGCCAGCCTGAAATCTTTCCAGGATTTCAGGAAAGGCTAGAAGAGCAAATATCTTTAGCTGACGGTTGCTCCAACGATGCTGAGCGGCAACAGCTAAAGGAAATCCTAATGGAATTGTAAGATATTTTTGCCAAAGATTCCTACGACTGTGGGTTAACTAACCTCCACATAGCCAGAATACAAACTGATCCTAATTTACCACCTGTATTTATCAAACAATATAGACTCCCATTAGCGTCATATGATGGTCTACAAGACATCATTCAGAATTTAAAGGAAAGGGGCATTATACGTCCAGTGCACAGTTCGTATAATAATCCGATCTTGGGGATTCTGAAACCTAATGGACAATGGCGTTTATGCGCTGACTTACGACAGCTAAATAAACGCGTCTATATGTCTGGTTGGCCAACGCCATACATAGACCAATGTTTACAATAGAAGATATGTGGACACTGAGTGCACAAATGCCACAAAAATCCACACACCACTCTCTTAATCCCAAAAACAGTGAATGTATACAATACTTGTAAATACAGGGATATATGCTGGTAGTGTTCCGTGTACTTGGACCCTATAATCACATAAAACAATACATAGTGTAAACTGTATATGAAAATGACAATAATAAAAATATAATGGATCCACTCACGAATTTTAGAGCCGTGCCAGGCTCTATGTTGAATGCCCAAGGGTGCCTATACAGGCTAGGTGCAGAGTCTTCACAATACCCCTCAAAGGCAGAAGAGACAGCAAGGATGGTGTAAAAAATGAATACATTTATTGCAAATAAAAGTTATAAAAACAACTGAACAAGTTGTATAAAAAAGTGCAAAAGCAATATTATGTATGCAATGTTTGGTACAAATGCAGGGATCCAAAATATTCACTGCCATTGACTGTGCGATATTGGACTGTACCAGTCCATAATGAAGACCAATACAAATTGGCCTTCACATTTGGAAAGCAGCAGCATACCTGGACCCGTATGCCTTTCGGTTATATAAACTCTGGTCATGAATTTGCTGTGTTCATGCATAAAGCTATGCCTGACGCACTCGAGAGAGGAACTTTATCATATGTCGACGATGTCTTGCTGAAAAGCACTTCCTTTGATAAGCATATCATAGAGATTAGACATGTTCTCACTCAGTTAAGAGAGGCAGGGATAAAACTGTCTTTACAAAAGGCGCAATGGTGTCGCACCCATGTCAATTTCCTCGGACATGAGGTAACTTCTGAAGGATTAAATCCCCAGAGGAAGAAGGTTGAAGCCGTACTAAAGGCTAAAACACCTTCAAATATCAGGGAATTAAGATCGTTCCTTGGTATGACTAACTACTCCCGTAAGTTTATCGATAACTATGCAGAAATAACAAAACCACTCTTACACCTGCTTAAAAAGGAAACTACCTGGAACTGGGGGGAGCCTCAGGACCAAGCGGTAAGTGAACTGAGGAGGAAGCTCACTCAGGCACCCTGTTTAGCATACCCAGATTGTTGCATTAGTTTGTGCCACTGTCGGTGCAGTTGTCGCAACTGGAATGTCTGCAGCCAACTCTATTACTGTCCAAAAAGCTGGATATGGAAATCTATGCGCTAAAGCAGCACATTAACGATATTCATCAGGTGATAAAACAGCAAAGAACACTTCTCCAAGACGTGTTAACTATTGTGGAAGACACAGTTGTTACAACAAATTTGTATTCGGAGTTAATTGCCAAATCCACTGAGTTGCACCAAAGTCATGACTTATTTAAGCGTGAACTTCTATTTCTGCATGACCCAATATTGTTCCACACACTTGCTTTTCTTGACGAAGTGCAAACTGGAATGATCGAATTGGCAGGGGGACGCATACCTCTGTACTTTGTATCCAAGGATATTGTTCATGCGATGCTTGCCAATGTGGATGGAGAAACAATTGAGTCTATGCAATTAAATCTGGCCTTTGAGATGGGGAGCGCTATACCTCTCTTAATTGATCTGGAACGTATGGAGATTTGCTTTTTATTGGCTATACCATATGTAACTCTCAAAGACATTTTCAAATGAAAACAATGTGCTATGATAATAATGATATTATGGTTGATTGTACTAAGTGTAAAGTTCAAAACTATTACAGGTACAAATATATACAAAAATGTTCATTCCACGCACGGGCCTATGTTAGAAATGATGTGATTGCACAATATGTCTGGTAACTTCTATAGTGCTTATTCATAAGCTAAATTAATTTTGGCTACGAAATGCACTAAAGGGGGGTTATGTCAGAGTATTTATATCGTCAGACATCTTGTGCTATGATAGAAATTAAAAGTGTATATGCTGAGTCACTCTGAACAGAGCAGACTCCATTTTGTTATTTTCAAGTTAACAAAAAGACACAAGATTTCTATCTGTAAAACTAACCACTTTCCCCAGAGTTAAAGGAATGCATAGTATATACAAACCAAGTGATAAGGAGAACGGGGGTTGGACAGACTGTCTAAATGCTAATGGAATAGATGCATTCTAAACCCAGACATTGGTGACAGAGAAGATTAAATAATAAAATTTTACTTTCTATATGTACAAGGTCCCATTGTAAGTTACGGGTCAAAACTCAGAATTTGCCAGACACATAGTCTGGACAAAACTTAAAGAAACTGTTTGATCTGACAGAAAACTTAAATTATGGCAACTATAAAGATAACGCAAAATGACGTCAAAATAGCCACCAGGAAAAGTTAACTCTTTCCTGGATAGGTATGTTTAGTGGGACAAGACTGCCCTCTATAGACCAAATACCTAAATTGCGATCCCTAGATAAGCACACCTCTAGTGCTTCTATTGGGTTATTAACTAAAGACATACAGAGAGTCTGGCCCTTTAAAAGTTAAGACAAAGAGGGGGAAGAGGTAGACGAGGAAAGGAGGGTATGCAAAGAAAGCAAAAAAGTGAGCAGTCGGAAGCAATGCAGAGAGGCCTATGACAGATATCCACTCTAGGACACTCAGAAATACCTACACACCTCCATGCAGAGAGACATCCAAACAAGTTCCTGAGACTACCAATCGGATGAAATATCTACTGGTAATTATACTGGTTTCATTTAATTAATTAAATTAATTAAAATTTACTAATAGCATGATATATGACTGGATAAATCACGGTCAGATTTCCATATTAAGAAATCTTAGTTAACTAAAGAATGTATAGTTATAAACATTCCATTCTGCAGGTGGAATTAAGAATAATTATATATTGATGTGATATTATCACGTGTTAGCATACCGCTGTTTTTATCCAGGTGTATTGTTACCGCTGTTTTTATCCAGGTGTATTGATTTGCTCTAATATAAGATAAGATATCTTTTAGACAAATTAAACTCTGCTTATATAACATGGTAGATTCTCTTATTAGATGGTTCCAGGAAATGACTAATGAACTGGTTTAAATGTTATTTTATTTAAAATTACATAAGAATAGATCTTAATTACCTAGGAGGTCTAGCCAGCATTGAAAGGGTTATTCTAACTGTTAGCTAGGGTTTTATGGCCCTTCGCTGTGAAAAGCTTCACTTTCAGTCTGTAAAGATAGTCATAAATCGTGTAAGTCTTGACAGAAAATGCTGTTTAGCCATTGAAACGTGTATAGCCATTCCTTTGTATTGCATACCATTTTATACTGGATATTCATTGATTATTGTTACGCATGTTACATATTATTATTAATTAATTTGTTATTATAAATAAATTTATTTTTATAACATTGTGATATTATTTATATGAAATACATTCCACTTAACACGATAACGATCTTTGGGATCTGAGAATTGAATTAGTGGGCAATTCTCACTGTTTACTATTATTATCCCATAAATATCCCCACAGCCTCCACTACAAATACACTGCATCACCTGCACAAACTGGTATCCCTATACACTACATACCATAAGCACACACATTAAATCCTCTACAATAACACATAACACATCCCCTACACACTCCACTCCCTGTGAGCGAACTCATGGGTGGAACATGTAGGTGGACTTTTAGGTGGGCCTTATGGGCATACTCACCGTCAGGCCCTGGGACCCAGACCTTGAGCTGTTTAAGGGGCCCCAAAAAAATGGAGCTGCTTCCCATTCTACTAGAACTTTGAATTTTGTGACCACAGTTACAAACAGCCTTCAGAGATCCTCTTCTACACCAGACCAGTGGAGCCAAACCGCAGCCCATCATCATCCTCATCTGGTTGTAAGTAGGCAATCTAGTATATTATTAGTGACACTAATCTATAATTTATCTCACATTAAAGGGACACTATAGCTTAATGAAGTGGTTCTGGTGTCTATAGCCGGTCCCTGCAGGCTTTTTAATGTAAACACACACTGTGTGCAGCTTTGGCATTAGTTCATATGGCAGATTATATAGGTGGGGCATTGTGATGTCACATGGGGGGGCAGCTAATTTTTCCTTTGCCTAGGGCAGCAAAAATCCTTGCACCGGCTCTGATCCTGGGCAGGTGCACCAGTCTACTGGTGACCCACAGGAGGGGATTGCACTGCACTCTCCTCCTGCCCAGACCTGTTTTTACCGCAGTGCAAGTGCCCTTTGCCCCTAATTTACAGTGGCTCACACTCACAGCAAGCAGTGCCTGGAGCCCTTTGCAGCGATGGGAACTAAGAGGTTCTGCAGCAGGTGGCCGTCCTGCAAGCATTACTTTAAACAGCTGTTCCCCATGCAGCCACAGGTGGCATTGTGCTGGGAGAATGTGATTACTCTTCACTTCCTCCCAGCCTACAGCGCAGCGCATGGTAGAGGGAGAGGAGGAGGCATGATTTAATCTTACAACAAATCCACTAAGCAAATCTTTGGGGGGGATCAGCTCTGTTTGCACAGTTTATTGGTGTTTGCTCTGATGTCTGTATTAATATTGAGGGATTTCTAAGTAGTAACATCAGTATGTGTCAGCAGGGCCAGCCGTTGGGGTGTGCAAGCTGTGCGGTCACGCAGGGTGCCATGACAACAGAGGCGCCCGGCGGCCAACACAGCTCACAAGTTGGGGACCCCAGCATATTCAATTTAAATGATTCGCTGGTGGTCCACTGGTGCGCACCAGCAGTAGGTGCAGTCAGATTATATCCTCTCCCTCGTGGTTCCGGTGCTCAGTTAGTGAGTCAGAGCACAGGCTCAGAGATTCTCAGCCTGCGCTCTGACAACATTGAAAGTCAGAGCCGTGAAGGAGCGGGTATGGCAAAGAGCTACTGATTAGCATAATGTCAATATCCGTTATAAAACCAGGTGAGCATGGATGGTGAACTGATTTGGTGGTGCAATGGGCCACTTGACTGGTTTTGCCCCCCAGGCCTAAGGCTGCCAGCCCTCCCCTGCTGGGTACGTATATATAATTTACTCAAAAGCTTCACTTCAAGTTACATGCTATCTCAGTAGTAATGCCACTGTCTGAAGTGTCTCTGCTCGCTCCCTCAGTCCCTCAGCAAACTGCAGTCTCAGCCAGGTAGGTAGCCGCACTGTCAGCTCTGCTTGCACCCTAGTCTCTCTGCAATCTTCCATTCATAGCTCTCTTATCCCCTTCCATTTATATCTCCCCCACCCCATGTCTCCCTTCCTACCTCTTCAAATTCATATCTCCGATGGATTGATGGCCCCCCTCGCTGCTGTTTTACCTGTCATAGCAGGGGAGTGGGTCTCTCACTTTCCAGCAGCGTGCACGTTGATCAGACTGAGCTTCGGGTAGTCACGTGACACCCGGCGCTCCTACGCAGAGTGGGAGGGGGAGGCACTCCCCCTCCCAGTTTACAGTGCATTCGGTTCATTTATGGAGCCGCACGCTGCCTTGGGGACAGGGAGTGCAGGCCTAAACGGGCGCAAAAATCACTTGTCAATCTGACAAGTAATTTTTTCTCCCCCCTCAGCGGGCCGCAAAAAACTTCATTGTGGACTGCGAGATTGACATGCTTGATCTAGCCCCCTTTTATGCACAGAAAATGTATTATTACTTACATAAACTAAAAGCAACACATTGCCATTCTAGTAATAAAGCTAGTAAATATTTAGTCCAGCACCTTAAGGAACAAATTGCAAGTACCTTTTCTTGAAGGAAGAAAAGACACACGCAGAATTGATCCTGAATCTGTTACTAAGCAATTTACCCCCCAGACTATACAATATTATGTGTCATCTCTGTCTCTCCCGCAATTATACCCTAGGTGGTATCAGATATTAACAAAACCATTTACTTTAGAGGAGATTTTAACAGCTACATGGGCTTTATCAACTGGTAGTCACCAGGGTCAAATGGATTCTCCAATACTTATTGCAAAAATAAACTACTATACTAGCGCCTTATTTACTTAAAATTATTTTAATAAAATTACTACCTGGTCCTCAGGAACATTAACCCAGGATATGTTATTAGTAACCATAGTTATACTTTTTAGACAAGGTAAGCAACCTACCCAATGTCCCATATCCCTTCTCCATACAGATGTTAAAATATTTGCCAAATATCTAGCAAATAGAATGGGAAACCTGTTACCTTTTCAAATCACTAATGACCAGACGGGGTTCTGGAAAGGATGGTAGGGAGCAGATAACACTAAAAAGTTTACGCTAATGCTTCACAGACTCCAGGACATTTATGGTCTTCTACTTACATTAGACCCAGAAAAAGCATTTAACTGACTAAATTGGAAATTATTGGTGGAGCACTCAGATCAATTTGGCCTTCTTTCTCTCTTTATTAAGGCGTTATTTCTTTATACAGGAAATCTCAAGCACAAGTCCTTAAACTGTTTTTCTGCCAACTCTATTTTTAATAACAAACGGAATCAAACAAGCATGCCCTCTGTCACCATTGCTACATGTTTTACAAGTATTTAGGACAAATCCACTAATACAGAGTGTGCATATAGGAAGAATGGAAGTGAAATTGAGTGCATATGCAGATAATTTATTACTTCTAACTACATGTGTGGTAGCTTCCCTCCCACAACTTATGCAGGTCATCCAAGACTATAGCTGTTGCCTAATATTCCTTGAATTATATGAAAACCCACGCACTATATATAGAGTTACAACAACAAATAAAAACAAATGTATTTTCTACTTACCCATTTGAATGGTAGCAGGATACAATAGAATATTAAACATTAACAATGACTAAAAACACAGATAAACTCTTCTTAGCAAATTACCTTAAACTGTGGGCTTCTCTTAAACATTTATTGCATAATTGGACTAAACAATTTCTTTCTTGGGCAGACAGGATAAAATCTTTTAAAATGTGCATATTATCTGGGCTTCAATACTAATTTAGGGCACTGCCCACCGTATTCCTAAAGGCATATTTGTCTGATAAACCTGTCCAAATGGTAACATTTATATGGGCAGATAAAATACATATACTCAGTACACCTTTTCTTACTTAATTGCCCTAACCATTACTTTCTTTCAACTTGTTTGATGGCATAATTCCCTCATAGAATTATACAACCACAAAGTAAATATTTTTTGGAATGGGCACACTAGTCCTTATTACAACTATCTTCTTTAATTACTACTTTGAAAAGATCAGGGAAATTCCATCTCCTAATACCCAATTACAAATTAATAAAAAAAAAAAAATGTGCATATCTTGAAGACTATGCAAAACTTGTAAATCTGTAAACCGATCTCAATGTGCTACAAATTATTGCAATATCAAGTCACTACATTTTAAAAATGCTTAGCTCAAACATAGAAATCAGACTTAAAGCGGCACTGTCATGCCGAACTTACCTTTCCTCAATCTCTTCCTCTTCTCCCCCTCTCTCAGGATCTGTTCTTCTTTTCTTCTTGTCTTCTTTAGTTTTCTTTAAAATCATAAGACAAAGTAGGGACTCTTTGCCTTATGGAGGATTCCTCCGCTTGACCAGCTCTGACCAGCGGAGGAGCAAAGTGTGCTTCATTTCCGCTGGTCAGAGCAATTTTCCCATGATCCTTACCTTCCCTCTGTGTTCCCACGATGCTTCCTGTCACTTTACACAAAACTGCCGAATTGCGTTCTAACTGAATGAGAACAGTATGTTCGTTTCTTTTAGAACGCAATTCGGCACTTTATTCGGATCGGAATTTCATTCTAATGAATGAAACTCCGATCCTATTCATGCTGTGGCTGCATCTTGCAGCCGCTTAGTAGATAACTCCCTAATTCCCACGGTATCAGGGAGCTATCTACTAAAAGGCTGAAAGACCTAAATTGGTCTTTCAGCCAACTTTACTAATACTAAGTAAAGATTACTTAGTATTAGTAAATTAAATGCCCCTACTCGCTATACCGGGGCATGTGTAGTAAGCAGTGAGCAGCTTATAGAATTTTATAGTAAGTCTGCGAATTGCTAATGTGGTCAGAATTCGGTGTTTACTGAATAACCCTGATATCTTTTTCTGCACAACTTAAAATGTATTTTCTCATGTTTCTCTGAAACTTGGGCGAACTGCCACTAGAGGGCACAATTATCATGCATAATATTAACATTGCACTGACCAATTCAAAGCTAATTAGTAGTGTAGAGGTTATATGTGCTGCCATCTGTAAATTGATAACAGTTAAAAAAATAGAAACTCATTTTATGACTTAGAGAATAACTAACCCTGAAACAAGAGCATACGTTACTATAAGAACAATTGTATTAGCTATAATACATAATGATTAAAGTGTTTGTAGGATGGGCAAAAAAAATCATAAAAATGACCTACATATGTCTGGATCCATGAACATCAAATATATTTTCTTTGTGGGTTTTTTTTTTAACTACCTGTAATATTTTTAATTTTATTATATTTTGTAATAAAACATGGTATCAAGTAAAATGTGGCACTGCAGTATTGGAGTTGTTATGTCATAGACCAGTTCACTAATCTCTCTGGAAACCACAGCACCTTAACTGAAGAGGACTGACTGGAAAGGTCCTGCAAGGTAAACTATGGTCTTAGTGAGCTTTTGGGGTAGCTCCACACTGCAGTAGAGGGAGTTAGGAAAGTTAGGGTTAAGTTTATGGTTTACATAAGGGTTAGCATTAATTCAGGAGACAGCAAAAACAAACACATGGGGTATAACTGCCACGAATACCCCCAAAGTTGTAAAATATAATATATAATAAATACAATCTCTTAATAAAGATGGAAGTAAAAATGAAATCTGTAAAGAAAAAACACTAAACATAGTGTAATAAATCCCCAAATTAATACAGGGTAGGGGGTTGTAGAAAACACACAAAATTTAATCTGATTCAGGCTTGTCTCCCATCAAAGAGGGTAGCCTAAGCAGGATATCTCTGTAAGGCTGTGGTATAAATCCTCTGGAGGTATGTAAGAATAAAGAGAAACAAAAAATAGTGCAGTCAATATAAAAAAGGACAATTAATTGGTACAATATTGCACTTTCAAGAAGGTAGGTATAGGTACATCATCCAGTGTTAAAGAATCAGGTACAGGAGCCAATCTCCCCATAAACAGATCAGAGCAAACGAAATACCGAATAAACATATTACATAGCTGAAAAGAGACTTGTGTCCATCAAGTTCAGCCTTCCTCACATATGTTTTTGCTGTTGATCCAAAGGAAGGAAAAAAAACCAGTCTGAAGCACTCCCAATTTTGCAACAAACTAGGAAAACATTCCTTCTTGACCCCAAAAAGGCAGTCAGATATCTCCTTGGATCAAGCAGCTATTACCCCACTAATTAGAAATTATATCCCTGTATGTAATGTTTTTGGAAGTATTTATCCAATTGCAGTTTAAACATCTGTATTGACTCTGATACAACTACCTCTTCAGGCAGAGAATTCAATATCCTTATAGTTCTTACTGTAAAAATACATTTCCTTTGCCTTAGATGAAATCTCCTTCCTTCCAGCCTAAATGTGTGAGTGACCTCGTGTCCTATGTATAGCCCTGTTTATGAATAGATTTCCAGATAAAGGTTTGTACTGGCCCCCGAATATATCTGTATAATGTTATCATATCCCCTCTCGGGCGCTGTTTTTCCAAACTAAAGAGATTTAAATTTTTTAACCTTTCTTCGTAACTAAAGTGCTCCATTTCTTTTATCAATTTTGTAGCTCGTCTCTGCACTTTTTCTAGTGCCATGATACTCTTCTTTAGAACAGGTGCCCAAAATTGCACAGCATATTCACGGTGTGGTCTTACCAGTGATCTTATCAAGAGGCAAAATTATATTTTCATCCCGAGAATTTATGCCCCTTTTTATACATGACAAAACCTAACTGGCCTTAGAAACTGCAGATTGACATTGCATATTGCTGCCTAATTTGTTGTCTATAACAACTCCCAAATCCTTCTCGTGTGTGGTTATCCCTAATTCACTACCATTTAGGGTGTAAATTGCTTATGCATTCTTGACCCCAAAGTGCATAACTTTGGATTTCTCTACATTAAATTTCAGCTGCCATTTTAGTGCCCATTCCCCCAATCTATCCAAATCCCTCTGCAGCAAAGCAATATCCTGCTCACATTTTATTACTTTACAAAGTTTTGTGTCATCTGCAAACACTAAAACATGACTTTCAATGCCTATTGCAAGAATATTTATAAATACGTTAAAGGAGCACTATAGTGCCAGGAAAACACACTCTCCTCCTCCTCTCCGCCTCCTCTTCGGCTGAATGCGCATGCGCGGCAGGAGCTGCACACGCATTCAGCCAGTCTCATAGGAAAGCATTTATAATGCTTTCCTATGGACGCTGGCGTCTTCTCACTGTGATTTTCAAAGTGAGAAGCATGCAAACGCCTCTAGCGGCTGTTAATGAGACAGCCACTAGAGGCTTTAGAGGCTGGATTAACCCATTTATAAACATAGCAGTTTCTCTGAATAAAAAAATGGGTTAACCCTAGCTGGACCAGGCACCCAGACCACTTCATTAAGCTTAAGTGGTCTGGGTGCCTAGAGTGGTCCTTTAAATTGAAGCAATCCCAAAATAGAACCCTGAGGGACACCACTTGCCACTTTTGTCCAGCTTGAAAATGTACCATTAATGACAACTCGTTGTACTCTATCCTTAACCAATGTTCTACCCAAGAACAAGAATATTAATCTAGATCAAGTTAGTTAGTTTGAAGACTAACCTATTGTGAGGAACTGTATCAAATCTAAAAAATCTAAGTAGATCATATCCACTGCAACACCCTGATCTATACTTCTACTTACTTCGTTGAAGGTTAGTTTGACATGACCTATGTTTCATAAAACCATGCTGATTATTGCTAATAAAGGTCTTCCCAGTGAATTCCTGAATATTATCCCTTAATAGCTCTTCAAATATTTTCCCAGTAACAGAAGTTAAGCTCACAGGTCTATAATTTCCAGGCAAGGATTTAAAAACCTTTTTAACCCCTTAGTGACCAGGCAATTTTTCAATTTTATTAGGGCTCTTTTTCTGCAGTGGTTGTGTTTAGATGTAATTTGCCTCTTACACATTTACTGTACCCATACATATTATATACCATTTTTCTCGCTATTAAATGTTCATTCTAAAGATACTATTATTTTCATCATATCATATGATTTACTAGAATAAAAAAAGTAAAATATGATGAAAAATAAAACACAGCTGGCCATCATGCACCCATGTCCCAGTTGGAACATTTCTGAAGCCGGCCAATGTAATTCACCTCCGTCAAGCCGTATGTTTTGGAAAAGTA